TATCGTTAAAAATTATTTTTTTATTTTGTACAAACAAAATAAATATATTGAAAAATATAAAAACAATAAAAAATTATACTTCAGAAGTTAATTTAGTATCAAAAACGTAAAATATTTGAGTAGCCGAAGACATAACCAAAGATTACAGCGCCACAGCACTGGCGAAAATTTAAATTTGTCGACTGGAATTCCTTCGGATAACCGACGTTTCGGATAACCGACCTTCGGATAAACGACGCTCTACTGTAATAATAATATGTACTGTACCATGTGACAACCTTGCGTCATAATTTGAATGTTTTCTAAAAATAATGATGATATTTCTTCGTATTACCATAACAATAGATTATGATTCTCACTAATACGCGAATCATGCTTTAAAAATATTCTTATAAAATCCAATTGTGAATAATGTAAATGAAGAAAAAAAGAGGTTAAGGTATTCATTTTTATTGCGTAATTAATAAATGTTACAAAGTTTCACTTACCCGAAGAAAACTTTGAGGTGGAATAAACAAGGGACCTGTTTTAAACGTTTCTTCTTTCTCCATCGCTTCTAATTTCATTTTTTTCGCAATATCATTACAAAAATTATTTCAAAAAAAGAAGGAAATTAACAGGTACACATTCACCCAGACGTTTCCTCTCCGACATTGGAAAGGAAATGAATCAAAGCTTTTAATACTCAAATATCTCCGCTTGGGGCGCTTCAAACTCATAATTAATTCCGATACAGATGTACATTTTTGTAACGAGTTTCATTCGAAATTTTAATAAACATCGTAATATTATTATTATATAAATTTTTAGTGACTCATTTTTGATTTCGCAATATTAAAAACAATAGATTTTGTAGTTTTAAAACATTTTGATAGTTAACAATAATCCATACATGATACACGTGTATAAAAACAACGCTCAGAAGATACTTTGTTGTGTCTCAAAGATATTTAAAAAATGGAAAAATTCAGTCACTTGTTGCCGCTTCTTTCAATACCCTGATGTTGAAGCCATCGACCAATGCCTTACTCATCCATATTCTCCGCTGAGTCATCTCGACTAAACATTACTTCATCATCGTGTTTTCAAATTCTATAACATTAGTTAATTTGTTTTCTTACAGTTAATAAATTATATTAAACTGACGGATATACTAAAATGTTTTAAATTATGAAATACGAATGATATGACGTTTAATTATGAATTTAAAACAACATTAATTCTAATACGAACAAAGGCGAAAAGAATTGCGATTGTTAACGTTAAACAAAATGTAATTTTTGAGTTTAAAATAGAATCTTCTGGTAATTTTAAATATAAATAGATATGTATTTTTAAAAAAACTGTATTAATGTTTCAAAATTTTATATAGGATCCGGGAAATGAGTATTCATCCTATATCAATGACTTTTAGCTTTTGTCCTTTGAATGTCATCGATCCACTGATGTTCTCGTCTTTTCACTATTTATTGAATGGATAGATATAAGGGAAGTTTCACATTATTCTTTTCTTATTGTTTCACTTATTTGATATTGATACTAGAAGAAAAGACAGAGAAATTATAAATTAAACTTATAAATAAAACAAATGGATTTTTTTTCTCGTAAGTTAGACAACATCAAGAGAGTGAAAAGTTATGGCAGAATGATAACTTTGTTTCTTGTTAACCTTCTTTGTAAGGTATTATCTAATTGGCAAAATCATTCCGAAGAAAGAATTAAACTATATATTTCGACTAGATTAATTCAATTATAACTCTATATTTAGAGGAAACACTATATAAGATTGTAAAAAAGAAAATATTTAATTAGGTACTGTATTTAAAAGAATAATTTAGATATATTAGGATTTATATAGATTTCTTTGGGGACTGAACATGGAATTGAAATGAAATTTGTTACCCTCAAACCAGATATTGTAAATAAGATCTAGTGGCAGTCATGGACGAAATAGATGCCAAAACACACACTCGCGAGTGTTTTGACTTCTATTTCGTTTAATATCTCAGGATAGGATAATGATTAAGAAACGAAATTCAGCATGGTAGTAGCTTCTATATAAGGGGAATTGAAGCTATTAAATTTTGGTGGTTAAGGGGCGAACGGGTGAGAAGATGGAGAGACTTGTCATATCTAGAGAGGAATCGGACTTTTAATGATAATTTTACTCGTTATTAGTATTTATAATATATTTTTTAAAAACTCATTTCTACTCTCAAAATTAAGCGTTTTGCGATTTAACTTGAAACAGATCTCGGATGAGGCCGGAAACGTTAGTTCCCGAAATTTAAAAGCATTACCGGAGATACAGGTTCGTTGAGTGGGAGTTGTTTATTAAATTACTTTTACTTCTTTTATTTTTATATATATATTTTTTTTCGTTATGAATCTGTACATTTTCTTCTTCTTTGGCTTTAGGTTTAATTGTTAGAAAGATTACTTTCAATTCTAATTATAAATTATTCCAAAAATAAAATGTGGAGATATGATATTTAAACTGATATATGTAATCAATTAATATAAAATTAAAAAGTTTTTTTATATATTAATTTATGTACAGTATTACCGAACAAGTTTTGGATTAAAGAGACATTAATATACAAGAACCAATAGACAGCAACTATATCACAGTGTTAAAAAGTTTTATTAAGTAAAAGTGTATATACACATTTAATTGTTCAATATAATTATAATTCTGGCTTAGACATATGCTAACTGCAATGTTTCTCTTTTGTTTTTAATTAGGTCCAATGTCGAGATGATACCTCTCTAGTGTTGACACGCACATTGTCGGCGAAAATCCATTATTTTCATGTCAGAATTTTACCAATCGAACATCCTCAGTTGAGATATTTCAAACGACCGAAGACGGTGCTAAGTTGTCACCGTTGACTTTAACTGAAGTGGAAGAACGTGTCCTTCGTTAGCAATGACGAAGAACACGTATCATTCCAAGAACCATGAATAAAATTTAAGATATCACATTTTCAATTAGTATATACTTGACCTATGAAATTGTGCCATTTCGTACCGTTCGAGTATCGCGATAAGCATGGCAATGGTAGGCTGAAATGATCAAATTCTTTAATAATTTCATTTATTTTCTGTTATTAAGTTAAAGAATTATTCTTAACAAAGTACTCGGGGAGACGACCGACTTACACACTTCAGTTTAATAATCTGTTTTATAGCTTTTTATTTCTTACCTTTGTATCAATATAAATTCTTAAGTTTTTTAACACTGGTAATCAGATTAAAATGTATTGGTTTTGCGATTTTATAATAATTAATTAATAACCTAAAATGTTTTTATGATAAAATCTCTTAACAGATAACACAACACAGTTTTNACGGGGACGGGTACCTTGACGGGAGGTGCGTCGGACTACTGAGCATGTCGGATTAAAAAACGGACTATCGAGGGACAACTGTACTAATATTCAATTTTTGAATAGTAGAATCAAATCAATTTCAATTAAATTGTTACAGTATTTTTAATCAACATAAAAAATAGTGTGCCCACTAAGAAGTGTTTGTCCAAAGGACAAAGTTTAAATTATTTAATGCTTTGAAGAGCCAAATAAGAAATTCTTACAAATCCCAAAGAAAACAGGCTTTATAGATGAATTTCAAGAGTTTATCTATCACTGTAAAGAAGCTCAAACTTAAAAGCTTTAAAGCATTGGTACCTATCACATGCTGACAGACTCAAAAGAAAAAGGCTGAAAATGAACATGTTAAATTTTTCCTCTGAAGAGAATATTTTTCACAAGCAAAATGAGCATTATGCCAAATCAATAAAAAGCTATTCTCCTGCATATTTGGAAGTCCCAGAAGTGTGATGGTCTGAGCAGGAATCAATTTACAAGGAAAAGCAGATCTACATTTTATAACAATGGCTAGAGTGAGTTCCAGAAACTACAAGGAGAGAGATTTTAAAATTAGCTATCATTTACCTGAATATAAAATTTGAAAAAATATATCTAATAATTTGTTATAATAAGAATACTTTCCATTGATGTATTCTTACACCTATAATTACATTTATGAAAATATTGTGAATTTATTTCTGCATAAGAGGTGGAAATAGAATTTACAATATTTTTACTCCTTTTTTATAGCATTACTAAATAAAACAAAATATATAATTTTACATTATACAATGCTTTTATAATCATTTGTAATGTACTTGTGATAAAAAAAGCATTTATAACGCTGAACTCGATGAATTCTCTAGCCTACTATATAAAGATCTGATCTGTTTATGATATTAATAGATTGTATCTGAATGGAACATATCAAAAGTTATAAAGATCCAGTAGTATTGAAAGTAATTCATTCACACAAAAAAAGTTAAAAACTATTCTGTAATGTAATAAAAAATGCAAATTGGAACATTTGGAATTGTCTATTGCAATCAATAAATCATTAGTATTTACTTTGTAGTCCTTTGTACTTATGTAGAAATATTTATATCATTTTTATTAAACTTTTATGCTATGTAATTTTACTATTTAAAAGGAGGAGGAGAAAATTCTATCAAATTGTTATTTTGTGGTTAAAAAAACTGTATTAATGTTTCAAAATTTTATATAGGATCCGGGAAATGAGTATTCATCCTATATCAATGACTTTTAGCTTTTGTCCTTTGAATGTCATCGATCCACTGATGTTCTCGTCTTTTCACTATTTATTGAATGGATAGATATAAGGGAAGTTTCACATTATTCTTTTCTTATTGTTTCACTTATTTGATATTGATACTAGAAGAAAAGACAGAGAAATTATAAATTAAACTTATAAATAAAACAAATGGATTTTTTTTCTCGTAAGTTAGACAACATCAAGAGAGTGAAAAGTTATGGCAGAATGATAACTTTGTTTCTTGTTAACCTTCTTTGTAAGGTATTATCTAATTGGCAAAATCATTCCGAAGAAAGAATTAAACTATATATTTCGACTAGATTAATTCAATTATAACTCTATATTTAGAGGAAACACTATATAAGATTGTAAAAAAGAAAATATTTAATTAGGTACTGTATTTAAAAGAATAATTTAGATATATTAGGATTTATATAGATTTCTTTGGGGACTGAACATGGAATTGAAATGAAATTTGTTACCCTCAAACCAGATATTGTAAATAAGATCTAGTGGCAGTCATGGACGAAATAGATGCCAAAACACACACTCGCGAGTGTTTTGACTTCTATTTCGTTTAATATCTCAGGATAGGATAATGATTAAGAAACGAAATTCAGCATGGTAGTAGCTTCTATATAAGGGGAATTGAAGCTATTAAATTTTGGTGGTTAAGGGGCGAACGGGTGAGAAGATGGAGAGACTTGTCATATCTAGAGAGGAATCGGACTTTTAATGATAATTTTACTCGTTATTAGTATTTATAATATATTTTTTAAAAACTCATTTCTACTCTCAAAATTAAGCGTTTTGCGATTTAACTTGAAACAGATCTCGGATGAGGCCGGAAACGTTAGTTCCCGAAATTTAAAAGCATTACCGGAGATACAGGTTCGTTGAGTGGGAGTTGTTTATTAAATTACTTTTACTTCTTTTATTTTTATATATATATTTTTTTTCGTTATGAATCTGTACATTTTCTTCTTCTTTGGCTTTAGGTTTAATTGTTAGAAAGATTACTTTCAATTCTAATTATAAATTATTCCAAAAATAAAATGTGGAGATATGATATTTAAACTGATATATGTAATCAATTAATATAAAATTAAAAAGTTTTTTTATATATTAATTTATGTACAGTATTACCGAACAAGTTTTGGATTAAAGAGACATTAATATACAAGAACCAATAGACAGCAACTATATCACAGTGTTAAAAAGTTTTATTAAGTAAAAGTGTATATACACATTTAATTGTTCAATATAATTATAATTCTGGCTTAGACATATGCTAACTGCAATGTTTCTCTTTTGTTTTTAATTAGGTCCAATGTCGAGATGATACCTCTCTAGTGTTGACACGCACATTGTCGGCGAAAATCCATTATTTTCATGTCAGAATTTTACCAATCGAACATCCTCAGTTGAGATATTTCAAACGACCGAAGACGGTGCTAAGTTGTCACCGTTGACTTTAACTGAAGTGGAAGAACGTGTCCTTCGTTAGCAATGACGAAGAACACGTATCATTCCAAGAACCATGAATAAAATTTAAGATATCACATTTTCAATTAGTATATACTTGACCTATGAAATTGTGCCATTTCGTACCGTTCGAGTATCGCGATAAGCATGGCAATGGTAGGCTGAAATGATCAAATTCTTTAATAATTTCATTTATTTTCTGTTATTAAGTTAAAGAATTATTCTTAACAAAGTACTCGGGGAGACGACCGACTTACACACTTCAGTTTAATAATCTGTTTTATAGCTTTTTATTTCTTACCTTTGTATCAATATAAATTCTTAAGTTTTTTAACACTGGTAATCAGATTAAAATGTATTGGTTTTGCGATTTTATAATAATTAATTAATAACCTAAAATGTTTTTATGATAAAATCTCTTAACAGATAACACAACACAGTTTTATTCATTATAATTTAAAATATAAAACTTATTTTTTAAATAAAATCTCTTAACGGCTAGGAAAATTACGCAACTCGTTGCTGGACTTTTTATTTTTTTTTAGCTGAGAAAAGCCAATTTTTGTAGCATTTGGTAAAAATTTCAGCTATATGACGAGATTTAACATAAAAAATCTCTTATTTTTGATAAGTTGTGATTTCTAAAGAAAGCACTTTTCAATGAATCATTCTTCTGTATTTAACAAATAAAAATAAATATGTAAATTTACATACATAGAGTAAATGTATAGAGTTTTATTTGGGTTACAAGTAATGTGCTGTGCCAGTTAAAATAGTTTAATTTCACTTACGTTACTACAATAGTTTTACTATTCGTTATTTTCACTCACAAAGATGTACGAAATTTGCTTCCTAGGTAAATGCCCAGTTTGCCCATGCGGTAACGCCGGTCCTGGTGGCAAGTATCGAGAATATCGAGACAAAAGTATCCCTCGTTTGTAGTATCGATACACTATCGCCCATTACTACGAGACAATTTGAAATGATATTCGATTATAAATTATAAAGTAGGCATAGATATATCGACAAGAGTTATGGAGGAATATGATAAATTAACCTATTTAATTCTGATTGTTCAGTTGGACGAAATAAACTGATATGCGGAGAAAGTTTTATCTGTTTTAAGTTCTGCGCTGAGCCACGCCGGCAATCTAGACTTTTTCTAACTCTTTCCGCTTTGTGGGCACTAAGAGGGCCTCTTTTAACAAGCCCATTTTAACAAGCTCCATTGTGGGCCTGGGCTTCGGCAAGGCCCACAATGGAGCGACCGGGTGGTGAAAGACAGGGCCCGACATATCCGGACGGATCATTTCCCCAGGAATTTTTCGACTTATCTGGATTCGAACCCGGATCCCCCATAGCATAAAATTTAAATTTCGATATTCTTACTACAGTAAAATTTCCGGTCCGTATATCATATGTAAAAATTGGCAGCCTCTTAACATCACATCACAATGGGAATGTCTCAATAGAAGAATAAACAAGAAATTTTTGCGCTGCAATTTGAAAAAATTGTAGACAAATTCCCACTGTCGTCAGTTTGTCTGCCTGTCTGTCATTCTTTAATCTAAAGAACGGAGTTATATAGATGAAAGTTGAGAACAGATATGGAAAGCTTAGGGAAAATAAACTCAGATTAACTATATATAAACTTGTAGTTTAGAATGGAAGTTATCTTGTGTCTATTCAAATTTCTCCTGAAGGCAAATAACCGGCACGATTTTACTGCTAACAGGGAACGTATGATGTGCAGGAGAGGTTTATATTGAGACAACAATACTACGTAATAAGACTCACGGAAATATCTTGGGGATAATTTATTATGGGTCAGCAATAAACCGATGCACAAAAAATTTGATTTTTAGCTGAACCTTCTTAACTCGAAGTCCGAATTTTTTTCCTCCAACCGATTCGAACTAATAAGGTTCCACTGTGATAATTTTCAAATTTACTTTGAAATAAAGTAAATGGAAAATTTCTTAACATAAAAACGTAATTTTATTTTCTTCCCTTAGAGTGAATACTGAATTCCACTTTATGTTATAAGTGATATCTATCAGCTTTTATCATACCGAATTTTGCACATCTCTCTTCTGAAATCTTATCAATGCATATTTGAAATATTTCCAAGTCTGCAGGAAAATGAACTGCTCGAGTTCTTTTCATGTTGTATAAATTTTCGCCTTCTGTTAAGTCTCTTTCCAATCTATCGAAACCCCAGAAAGTTTGCCATAAAGAAATAAGAAACGTAAAAAATTTTAAAAATATCCTTTTATTACCGTAATTCCGTACACTTCCACAGAATTGGTTTCATATTCTAAATCAGGGGTGTCCAACCCGCGGCCCAAGACAAGTTCCAATGCGGCCCAATAAAGGTGTAAACAAAACCGACAAATGTTTTAATTGTTTATTATTTATTTATTTCAACGGCATAAACTCAGAAATGAAGTTTCACAAAGCCTTAAACCTTTATTCATATTTTAGTTTTGAGTGGAAATGAAATATTTTCATGTACAGTACTTGGAGATGTGTGAATGAGGAAGGATTACTAAATAAAGCTGGAGTTGTGACTCAAAGGATTATAGACCCAAATTTGGTGAAAGGAGAGAAAGGACAAAAGATAAAAAGTTGTCAGAAAGGTTAAATAGTTCTTCTGTTAGGCAAATATTGAGTCTTAATTTTCCAACCTTTCTCACTT